GGAAAATAAAATTTGCACATATATACTTAATGTATATGCTACGTACCTACCTAAATAACTTATTCTGGGTTAACAACATATCTTGCTTGGAAAGGGGGAAGAAGTTACCACCCTTGGAGAATATCCATGACACAAGTTCTAAAATTGACCTTTTTGGTTAGTCAAAAACAATATACGCTGTTTGGGTATTTATTGGAGCTTCAGTTTAAAGTGACAGGCTTCTAGTTGTATCTGGAACTTCAGCTGGGGGACAATAGCAAAAAAAAAAAAAGCTGATTTATAAGGTGAGAAGATTTTGTAAATTATGTCTGCGAGCCACTGAGCCCTTGAATCATGGTGCTTTCAAGATCTTTATTACCTTCATTATAGCACTTTATATATGTCTGTGCTTTTGGCAATAATTCTTCAGCTTATCCTGCTGTTATATGTATATGTACATTCTTATGCCTCTTTACTGCTGGGAAGAACAGAAATGGAGGTACCTGGAAAGTGAGTCGACCAGTTCTGTGTCAGTGACAGCCAGACTTAGAATTCATGTATTCTTGATGAAGTTTCAGGCTATAACTTGGACCTTTTTTGGGATTATTTTGGAAGAGAAAGAGGAACTTGCCTAACAAATCTTGTCTCAGATTAATTCAATTTAAGTGTCACTCCCTGTAATCTGCTTTTAAGAAATTCTTTTCTTTTATGAGAGAAATACAAATAAGATTATTTCAAACACAATTGAATTTGTATTTCATAAGCAAATCTATGGGAATACAAAAGATACATCTGAAGTATTGAGCTGATTGCTCATAAAGTATTTTGAGGCTCTTAAAAGAGGTATTAATGAAAACCTGTAGAATTGTTGGATGTTTGAGTAGGTATTACCTACCCACTGCCGTTGAGTTGATTACGACTCATAGCGGCCCTATAGAACAGTGTAGAACTGTCCCATAGGGTTTCCAAGGTTGTAAATCTTTACAGATGCAGAATGCCACATCTTTCTCCCGCAGAGCAGCTGGGGGGTTTGAACCATCTACCTTTTGGTTAGCAGCCTAGTGTTTTAACCACTGCACTGCCAGGTCTTCTGAGCAGGTATTAGATGTAGGCTATTTACAGGTTAGGAAACAGAAACCCAAAAGGATGAGTGAAATGCTCATGATCACATTCCTAGTTAATCAGAAAATCCTGACTCTAGACTAGTGTTCTTCCTGTTAGCAATCAAAAGCATTCTTTTTCAAATTCCTTCCATTGAGTGTTTACTTGTGCCGTCTACCATTTGATCGTTGGAGACACAAACATGCACTGCCTAAGGCTTTTGAACTCTTTAAACTCCGTCAAATTGCAGAATGGGGGCAGAAGAGGGGGCAGACACGTGGAGACAAGTTCCAGGTGCAATGGGAAAATGAGAGGAGGGCAGGGGGAGGGACTATGTAAGTCTTTGGACAGTCACGGAAAACTAAGGAGAGGGAGGTAATGCTTGTGCTGATATTAGAAGGAAGAGTAGAAAGTCTTTAAATAGATGAGAGATAGGAGTGCGCTGGGGGCAGAAGGCTTTCTAGGGAACAGCAAGTTGTTCAAAATGGCTGCAGAAGAGTGTTCACGGGGAAAGTAGCAGAAGAAGAGGCTGAAAATCTAGGCCGAGACAGATTACAAAGGGTCTTGTATATTATGCTAAGACATCATACTTCATCCCATTCTATGCAAAATAAAAATTCAAGGAAAACAACAAAAAATGTTGCTACTCCAGATTTTGCTTCTGTTATTGTGGTATATGTTGGCAAAGACAGAAAGTGAGTCTAATTTCATACGTCACTAGGGGGCACCACAGTAAAACTAACCATTTTCCAACATCTTTTAAAAGCACTATCCTTTTTACCCCTGAGGAGTTAAGATTAGACAATTTTTCTAAGGAAATCAAGTGCTCATCCACATATAAAAGGATGAACAATATCGAGGATGGGAGGAGGGCCTAATATTGTTTCCAGAGCCCTGGTGGCTCAGTGGTTAAGAGCTCGGCCGCTAACCAAAAGGGCGGCAGTTGGAATCCACCAGCTGGCTCCTTGGAAACCCTATGGGGCATTTCTGCTCAGTCCTATAGGGTTGCTATGAGTAGCAATCGACTCGATGGCAATGGGTTTGGTATCTTTGG